GGCAATCCAACAGTCAACAAATGGAATCAATATACATGGAAAACGAGTAAAGGTCGGAATAATCATCAAGTAACCAAACCAAAGCCCCTAGAGGCAAGACCTACGATGCGAACAAGCTACGTGTGCAGTGCAACGTCGAAAAGGTCAAGTAAAAGGTCACCTGAATACCGATCAATCAGATTCCAACCACCAACCACGAGCCGATGTAATCATGAGCGAGCAAACCATACTCAAACTCACGCACATCCACTAACAGCATACTGATGACAGTGAAAAAAACCGCTCAGCTGTAGCACCCTTTCGGTGCCTAACTTCCATGCCACATAAAGGTACTGCCAGGTTGCCCAAGCCCAGACAGGGGAAGCTGAACGGCAGAGGTCGGGTTCGAACCACGGACCTTCCGGTCAGTAAATTCGCGCTCTAACCACTTTGTGGTGGAACTCTTGTAACCAATTAGCTCAGTTTGGCCAGTAGACACACAGTTCCCGTTCTCTCTATAGTCTATGCATTACATGGCTAAAACCGACGTGCCCGGCAAGAGTGTTCACTGATCGGCGCAATCGTAATTTTTCTTGCACGGTTCTACTTAACTAAAAACTATGTTTTGGGCAATGTGCGCTATACGCACGATGACCTGTACGATGCGTCTTTCTTGATTAGCAGGAAGAAATCCACACGTATGACTTCGAAACCAGCCTACTATTCAACGAATATGAGCCATTGACTCAAAACAGTCTCTATGCCTGCACATGGAGCAGTTCCAAACTCACCGTGAAAGTCCGTCAGAATTACACGGCGATCATAACTTGCGGACAGCAGATAGTATGCTGTGGGAGAGAAGCGGACACTTCGTACTTCGCTTGTGTGCGGTCGGTAGGCGTTGATGTATCTGGCCCCACGTAGGTCGAACAGAGAGACTGTAGAGTCCTCGTGGCCGCTCGCCAGCAGATTGCAACCGGGTTCCACGGATACCGAAGCAAATGCACTTCCTGAAAAAATACGCGTGGGAAAAGAAGCTAACCTCACTGACAAGGCAGTGTTGTCTTCAAAGCCAGAAGGCGTTGTAATTTTGGAAGAACACTTTTGTCAAACCAGGTTAATAAATATAGAAAATTAACTCAACAGTGAAGCTCGAGTAACTTGTTGTACGCTGGTCCCAATGTTTTGGTTTTTTCGTCGGAAAGTAACAGGGGATTCAGTGGGACAAAAAGACACGTCTGGGTACGGACTCGAACCGTTGACCTCCCGGAGAGGTGGTCTAGCGAGTGAACCAGTGGAGATGTTCAGTCGCGGTAACGATTATGAGTTTATTGGCTTTTTAAGGTATGTTTTTCGTCAAAGCAGTAGGATCATTGGGAAAGTGCAAAGGATAAATGAAATGTCGACTTATCGGGGAGTTGCATATGCCGTGGAGCCCAGGATAAGGCTGGGAATTACCGTCAGGACATCGACAACACCAGGAAACCAATAACCAGTCAGAATACATAGATATTAGCCCAGTAACTCCTTGGTTTTGTTCGAAAGTGAACATTTTAAACTTGCATGACTGGATTTCATTCTACGTACAATACGTAAATTGCACTCCTCCTGGCTTGTTCTTGTGGTGTGTACCATCTCGAATTTCACGCCCGTGGACTGTTCGACTTAACCCGCTCATCTTTTATGTTTTGACGTCACTGTGTACATCAGTAGGCTGTCTTCACGTGACAGAAACTACTTGCCCTCTGCCGCTAAAGCTTTCTTACCCAATATCCAGACCTAAAAGCAAAGGAATAGCCGCTGCTGAATAGATTGTCCGTATACGAAATCTAGAACGGGATGGGGCGAGGACAACGAAACGTCAAAGATTGTGGTTACCTTGACTTCCGGAATACGACTGAATGATGAGAACAGGCGCAGGAGCCCGGAGGTCCCAGAGTCTAGCGGTGGCATCCGCACTACCCGAGACAAACAGCGAACCGGGACTCCAAACGTTCAGAGCGTAGACGGGTGCAGTGTGACCTGATAACGATCGAACGACATAATTGGATTTGATTGGCTGTTGTCCGCCGAGGTTCGGATCAGTCTGCACGATGCGGGAACAATCGACTAGACAAATCCGAGCATCGCCAGCACCGGCAGTAAGTAGATGAACACTGGCTGTGGCGGCATTCGACATGCGGATGGAGTTATTGCTTGCCGAAACATCTAATGAGTGTGACGGTAACTGAAAGCATTGAAAGCACACGAACAAATTCAGTCTGGGTCAAACACCAAGCCATCAAATTCATCAATAAGGACAGGGTGTGATTAAAAAAACAGTCCGAATTGTATTTACAGAAGAAGCAAACCATGCACACTTGAAAGGTATGCCTCAAAAGTTTGCCAACAGAAGTATGAATAGAAAGATCCTCGGGAAAGTTCTTCACAAGTCCCTCGATCGGTTTAAAGATCACTAACTCAGGTGCGGATTGATTTTCAAAGGGATTTTGAGTACCATAGATGGAAGTGACACTTGGAACACTAGTAACCAGTAATTTCACTGAATTACAACCCTTGAACAGCGCCATACTTTGAAACGTCCCACGTTGGTCCACTAAACTCTGTCGACCGCTATAAAGTTCGACGACGTCTGGTGATCAGAAGTATCCCTTCAAAATTTATATCACTTATGAGGGCACTGTATGCAAACTCCTATAGCCGGGTAAGCGTATATAACAAGCTTTCGCCTGAGTTCAGCCCGCCCGGTAGTGTCAGAAAAGACTTCCCTCTCTCAACATACATCTTCAACAATTTCGCTGCTTAAAATTCCCCCTTGTCTCTGAAACCTCGGGCATCGATAAGCTCCCGCGGCATTTTCTCACAGAAATCGAGTATGAGGAAGACGCTGCTCTCTTTCGTTCAAATTCCTTAAACATGCAAGCCACTTCTAGCGACCTAAATATTTCTGTTACAAAATCTGGTATCGCTGCAAAGTGTAAAGCGCTGCTACAAGAAAGGATGGAATCAAACCTCAAAACTCACGCTTGCAGACCAGCCAATCGACGTAGTCGTTCAGCTGTGAACGAAGAACCGAAGAAAGCTGCCAGGCTATCCAATCCTAGACACGAATAGCCGAGGGTTGAGTTCGAATCACGAATCTTCAGGTCAGTAAGGTTGCACCCTAAAGACTGAGCCATCTCGACGTGGTAGATGAATTTGTCTACCTGGGTATATGTATATGTTCAGATGAGCGGCTAGATACGGAATTACTGCTCGGATCGGGAAGGCCAGGGCAACTTTTGCCAACCTCCAACACCTATAGCGCTGGCCTGACGTTAGTTTGTCTCTCAGTGCAAGAATGGTGTGAAATTGCGGTCCATACTGCTTTATGGATCAGAAACGTGACTCCCACACTTGAAGAACATAAGGAAGTTGCCAGTGTTCGACCATCGTTGTCTCCGAAGGATTGGTCAGGCCTGGCGGGAATATTGGATTGGCAATGCTGAGGTATGCCAGAAAGTTTTAAGAAAAAAGAACTCTCCAACGATGGATGAGTTATGAACGCTTCACGGTGCAAACGTGTAGTTCGCGAATGGCATCCAAGTTGGGTTCAAGTAGAGCATGAGGGTGATGGAAACTGGAGGACTGCACCCACTGGATGAGTCCCAAGAAGGAGGAAACCGGTCGTGAGCTTTCTAAGGGTTTTTAGCAACCTAATGGGTCGTGTCTCGTGTTGGTCGTCACATTTGCAACATCATTTTTAGCGAAGAACGACTGCTATTAAGTCGACATATTTCATTCTAAATGTAAAAGACAGACTTAACATTTCTGGGTCAACTTCGAACTGACATTCGTCCGCTGCCAAAGTGCAACAAGTCCTGGCCACGGTTTTTAACTAGCATTTTTGTGTGGCAATCTTCTCAAGATGGAATTCACTCATCAGAGACATCTTAATCTAAATTGTCTAACCAGGAAGGCTGACACGTACTCGTCAGGTGATCGACCTTTCTTCGGTGAGTAGTGAATGGCGTTTTCTAACACTATACTCCAGCCGGTCAAATCTTACTGTGCAGAAGATGTGATGGGTAATGACTTTAACGAGCCAAAAAGTCTGGAAATCACCCGCTACAAATGTGAAGCTGTTACATATCGGCATGATCAGCAAATTATTGACTATAAAGTGTAAATGGTTTTACATACATGTGAAATGTTTCAGATTTGAGCAGGTTCAACTCTAGAGGGGTTCCATCTTGTTCGACAAAACCTTAGCGGTCTTAGCGGAAGGTTCTTCTCCAAAACAATTAAAAGGGAAGGCTCCCTGGGTGCTGCATAGAATGCTAACAAGTTCACAGTTGTGAAGCAGTGTTTGGTAGGTAGACTTACCAAAAAAGCCAAATCACGCACGGTGCCATCGTGGTGCCGTAATTCCACACACTGACCCGCCGTATTCGCCACGCTGGGGTCTCCGTTCGCTGCTTCGGGCAGTCCCGTGGTGGGATCGACGCTCAACATCCGAACTGTGGTATCGTTGCTCCCAGAAGCAATCAAGCGTCCATCTGGACTCCATGCAACACAATAAATGCTGCCACGATGGTACTTCGGGCGACGCATCACAATGAAGGGAGCGGTGGCGACATGATCAGCACTGTTGTGTGGAGGTACAATGAAACAGTTAAACCGGATGACAAGATCAGGTGAGTTTTGGGATCGAGTAAGTCACGACAGTTTTCCAAGGGACCAGTGCCACAACAATGGGTGCGAACAAATGTACAAGTCGGCGTTATCAACAGCAGTTTTGCGAAAAACCGCTTAACCGGTAAACGGAAAACCAACTTGGATGTCCTTTTATCAAGTCAACTGGCTCAACAGATTCACGCTGGGCGTCCTCGAGTCACTGAAGCGTGAAAGCTTCCACCCCTTCCAATGTTTGAAAACTCGGGAACAGATTTAATCCCCACTGACATTGCCTTGACATAGGAGAACATGCCAGTTAAACACATACATTGAGACACTTGCGAACTCGGTTAATTCCGATGTTTCGAAGGAGAGAGTTGGGGGTTCAGTGGTTGAACTGGTCTCCGATTTTGGGGATCGCATTGTAAACATGCTGTCATCACTACCACCTCACTTGGTGACAGAACGCTAGCCAAACAGTTCACCACCACCACCACCACCACCCGACTTGGATGCAACCAAGAATGAACCAAATATGATGCAGACGACAGCTGCACACACCACAGCAGGAGCCATTTAACCTCATCGATCCTTATGAGCAAGAATGGGATTCTTCAGACTGGCATTTTCAAAAAGCATCCGCGGAACCTTCGAAATACTCAGTTGAATCGCAGTTTTCTGTACGCGAATTCTCGCAGTGATCTGCAATTAACATGTCATCTACAGATGAACTCAACTCACAAATGAACTGGACCCTGCCCAATACACACCAAACCAGAAGTGAAGCCTGTTTTCAACTAGCTGGTGCTCTGTTCGGACAACCTGGCCACCAGTGAGCAGTCAGTTACTGACCGCTAGTGCAACCACATCCTTACCAAACATTGATGTGATTACAAAAGTCCATAGATCCAATTGAAACGGAAACAAAACTGTAACGCAGTACAAGGCCCACACAACGGCATAAAAACAAGTTAACACGGTAATTGAGATTGACCAGTGCTGTCCAGTTTGGGAACTTCGTCTTACGAATTCGTAGGTAGTTCCCTCACCACGTCACTTGAACTGATTTGTGTTCGATTCACATTAGGATAGTCACGTTTACTACACACAGCAACGACTTCGCGAACTCTTTTCGTTTCCGCACTCCGTTGTTGGAGGATTTAGAAAACGTAAGGCTGGATGATTAGCTCAAATAAAAATATGAAAGAATTAGGATGCTACCCGGAATACCTAGTAACGAACGTACGCACGCTCGCTGTTCAGTTCAGTATTCCAGCGGTAATTCGTGTAGTGGCCACAGTTCAGCAAATTCACAGATACTTATGGAACGATGGGATAATTATAGTTCGAGAAATTTGGTGTCATAGTGATCTCGATAATGCAATCGCTGCGCAATTGATGATTTTGATTTGTTTCATGTTAGCCGTCCGGTTAAACTCCAAGGCAGAGGTGGTTCCGTGGTCACCCACGTTAAAAGAAAGTGTCGTTGCACAAGAGCGTGTTTCAGATTATCTTGAACATGTAGAATGCAAACCCCTCTTCCTAAGCAAATATCGCTGGACCCCTATTACGAACGGATATGTTGCTCACTGTGTCAGAGACCAATAAATGGGATAAATCCTTTTCCGCCAACGCCACTGACCATTCGTTAGCACGGATTGGAGTACATTGAACATTCCCCCACAAGCTTAGGAAACCAAGTCAATTTTGTGTTTGTGAATGGCATCGACAACTCCGCTCGAAGTGACTTCAATTGGTCACCTCCCGTTTAAACCACTTTAACTGAAGTCCAATGTGCTGTTTACACCCTTGGGCTGAGGGCGCCACCTGTCCATCTTCTTCATGAATTCTTCATTGCACCGGTTCACCGGCATTCAGTTCACTGTCGCATTTTACGACCACTTTGAGATTATCGTCTTATGGGTCGTTGAAACACGTCTCTAGGTACGGTGGAATCTAGGGGAGTGATCCAAGTGAGCAAGCACTTTGACTCTCGTAAGGATTTGATGAAGCATTCAGATTTTCATCAAAGTTAATATCCTTTCATGCTGACCTTCTACAAACCTTTACCAACAAGAATAGCCATTTTACATCGACCGGATTACTCCAAACCACAAATAATAGTGTGTTGCGGTCCTGCGAACTGAATCATATCACATTCGTTAGACACCTTCCTTCTCAGATGACTATCTACTCCGAGAAACAGCTAACAATTGATCAGAGACACCAAGGCAGTAACTAAAGCGGACGGCGGAATTGAAAAACATACGTACCCAAAATGATTGTTTAAAAATACTATCCGAAAATGACATTCTAGGTAGCCAAGGAGATTGAGGCTACTGAAGATATGCAGTACCCAAAAGATTGTTTAAAAATACTATCCGAAAATGACATTCTAGGTAGCCAAGGAGATTGAGGCTACTGAAGATATGCAGGAACAAACAGGTGACTGTGGTTGAAGGCTCATACTGGTACACAAACTCCAGATGGCAGTGGAGACCATCTTGGGTGGAGGACACTAGACCGTAGAGTACGAGGTAGTCTCAGATTTACAGTGTTCCAGTGGTTGGTGTAAACACCTCCTCAGGTTTTGAATAAGCACAATGGTGACACGAAAATGTTGCAAACCTCACTCTTGACGTCTCTCTAACAAACTGATGTAGTCAAAATCCAGCACGAGTAGAACACAAGCAACTTTCAGGATTAGTTCTCGGGTGGTATAAAACACTCAACTAACAAGGTTCTAAGGCTGTCCAGAAACGGGGAAAGTAGAACAAGGCAAGTTCAGAAGGCAGCGAATGATCGATCAAGGAAATTCGATTATCTAAACAGTAGTCATGGGGAACAATAAGAAAGCGTACCGCGACAAAAAAAGGTGTTGGTGTCAACGACAAATCAAGACTTTGTGGGAAAGAAAACCAATGCTGACCTAAGATTCTCCACTTCAGGAAACTGACAAACACGAAGGAATTTGCTGTTCGATCCGACCACGTAATACTGACCAGTGGGGTGAAACGCCACACAGCGTATGGCTTGACTGTCTTCTAGAACGGTTACTTGTAGATAACGGGGGCTGTTGGGTCCAGAGCCATCATCTGTCGAGGCTTGTGTGCGTCTGCTAGTCCGAGAGCTGGGAATAGTAGGACTACTGGTTCGGATTGGGCGATAATCCGTACTGTTACTGTTGTTGATGACTTTGGGAGCGTTGGACTCAAGTATGTCGTCAAAAGGTCTGCCATCTACTGCATGAGCCGGTGAAGGCTAGGGACATAGGACAGCGGAGAGTAACAGGTTTATCCAGTATTTGACATGACCGAAAACTAACATGGATATAACGAGAGCCACTGGAATCAGATACAAGAAGGTTATTGAAGCAGCGTTAGGTGTTGTGTCGGTACAAGCTCAACGTCCCTGAAGCGGACGTCAGTCTATCTAGGGAGGACACAGTCTACCCGATCGATTAATCATTGTCAGACTTCTAAAACAGGATAGCTCACTGGGGATGAATAAATAAAACCGCATTCTGAAGAGGAGCACCATTGAATCGGGCTAGACCCTCCGTAGAGTTTCTATTTCTATCAAAATTTGCACAAACACGATCAATATGTTGCTATACTGCTCCGGACGTGACTAGCACGCCCAATTCCAGTATGGAGCGCATTATTTAACTTGTATAGAGCCCTGTCAAGCTTGTCAGCTACTTGGGTCATGGGAAATCGTCAGTAGTAATCGTTCAGCTGTAGCACCTTTTCGGTGCCTAGCTGCCATGCTCTCCGAATGAAGCATGAGGGCTGGGATAATGCCAAGTTGCCAAAGCTTAGACAGGGAAGTCGAGAGGCAGAGGTCGGGTTCGAACCACGGACCTTCCGGTCAGTAAATTCGCGCTCTAACCACTTGAGCCATCTCGACCCCAATCGTCAGTAGTGACTACAGGTATTGCGATGGGAGAAAAAGAATGATGGCTTATTTCGGAGATTCGATGGACAATCGGTTGCGCGTAGACGTGCGATGGTCAGATACTGGGAAGGAAAATGCGCAACAATCGAGAATCGCAAATAACACTCATCAAATACATGATAAGTTAGTGTGGTTTCACGGCAGATTCGCGTAGAAATCTAAAGAGGGTCATGAAGGGGTATGGTCAGAAGTTGCTTTTAAGGAGGTACGCTACCTAGGATAGTCGAACACAGCATAAACGTAGTACACTACTAATAATGCTGAAAACCTGTAGACCTAAGGAGTAGTGCATTACGTCCATACAATGTATCGCAATATCTCAAATATCGTACCAATTGAAACATGAGACGGCCTGGTGCAACACATTCAGTTGCTCAAGAACGTCATAAAAACGAGAGATTCAGTTGAGTTCCAGGTGAGTCTCCCGTCAAATCCAAATTGGTTGGCAATTGAGTGTATTTCACGAACACAGTATACTGTGAACAACTATATTGTAAACTAGCGGCCACAGGCTACGATAAGAGGCATTCTATCTGGCCGAAATATCAACCGACCGGAATTAGGCCTTCAAGCCTGTTACTCCTTGACCACTTACGAAAACCATATCGTTACTCTACAGGGAATCATGGTGGTCTGACCTATCACGTGTCTTGATACACAGTGGTGGACAGAAAGAATACTAATCGTTCAGCTGTAACGCATTTTTGGTGCCTAGCTGCTATGACACCCGATAGAAGCACGAGGATTGACATACTGCCAGGAGCAGTCGAAATATCGAGGTTGGATTCGACCTTCCAGTCAGTAGATTCACGCCTTTACTAGTGGGTTGAACGGAGAGCCAAAAGAGGAGTATGGAGATTAGAACGTGGGAGTGTGGGTGAGATCTGCCTGTGAGTAACTCTTCTAACTCCTAGTAATAGGTAGTGTTTTCGTCATTTTTATTCGAAATTACTTTGTGAGTAGATTTTTCACGTGAGTCAGTTACTTGGCACAGTCTAGAACCACGTTAGGTAACGACACATTTACTCGCTCTGGAGGATTAAAGTTGATACAAAAACCCAAGTAAACTACTGAGGATAGCACAGGTGGTTGCTGGCTCGTTCGCCAAGTACACTGTCATGGTTTAATTCAAGCGTATTGGGATAACTCCCTAATGGGAAACAATACTCTGGAATGGGAATATTGATGTGAAACTGTGAGATACACTGTCGAGATACACTCGTATGTATCCCACCTATCCCAAATGAGATTGTCACATTTAGCAAAAATCTGCCACTGAAATGAAAGAGTGCAATCCAGAAAGACCAGAACTATCCGATCCCCAGTACTGATACGGCAGTTACTGATAGAAGCTAAACGATAGAGTCGGTTTGGTTTATTCACAACGTATAAAGTTCGTACGCCTCGGAAGAAACACCTGGACGCAGCGTGCCTTTGGCAGAATGCGGGGGGAGATTGACAGCTTGTTTGTTCAATGTAGACAAATATAAATCGTGATTTCAAAGATGATAAACTAAAATCCCCGTCAATCTTTTGGAGCGCAATACGTCGTGCGGAAAATATATTTTTATCTTTCATACTACCAGACGAATGTTAGAAAATTCCACTCTATCCGATGGAAGGCTTCAATTGGTGTGAAGGAAGGAAAGGTAGTTTTCCCGTCGGAGTTTTTTAGTGTGGTTGTGCTATGGGTAACTGGGTGTGAATAAAAACAGCACCTGGGCAGGAACTTAAATCAACGGAGTTACGTTCAAGTTGAAAGACAAAGCGTGAAGTTCCATTTTGGAAAACAATGCTAATTCCAGGAAGGGGAGTGTAAAAGGTTTTAAGTTTGCCGGAACGCACATCTAAAATAGCAGCTGCTCATGTAGAATATCCGATTCAGCTGTGATACCGTTCTTTAACGCCCAGTGGTTAGAGCGCCAATTTGCTGAACGGAAGGTCCGTGGTTCGAACCTAACCTCTGCCACTTGACTTCCATTGTCTACGCTTGGGCAACCTGGCAGTATCCCAGCCCTCGTGCTTCCTTCTGGTGGCATGGTGGTTAGGCACCGAAAGGAGGTTACAGATGAACGATTATCTTGTTATCTCTTTAACAAACACTTCCAGCGACCGAATCGAGTTTATGAAACAGAAATCCTGTTTGAAAACTGCCCCAAACCCTTGTTCCCAAGACAACCACAAGCCGAGTACGAGGCTTATTATCTCCGATGCGGTTCAGTGAAGATGGCTGTCTGTGACTGGAGAGCCAGGATGTGGGCAACGGACGGCGGATCATCGCGTTTGCTCCCAATGGGAACGTCGGTAGCTCAGGTAACCTGGATGGCCATAGGTTCTTTTGGATGGCATGGCAGAAAGGCACCGAAAGGGTGTTACAGCTGAACGACTATTATCTATCATGGTCATAAGTTTGTTCGTTGATATGAACAGTTTGAACACCAATCGAGGCGACATCAGTGCGGTTTTAGCGAGAAAAGTTGAGCGCAGCAGTGCGCCGGTGGCTCTGCGCTGCACACAACCACTGACGCACAGCTATGCTCCAGTCCGCTCGCCAACAACGCACAGATGGTGTCACCTCGGGTGGCGACGAAATGTTTGCAATCAAATTGCTCAGCTGAAGATCCTCAGCTTTCAGAAGATTGTATCATCCGCCCTGTGATTCCTCTGTCAGAAACAACAAGTACTCTTATGAATAGTACAAAATCTGATCGAACAAAACAACCACGCATATATGGGAGCTAGCCATGAAGCTTTCAGTGCTGGGGAATTCGCAGCCAAGCACTGTGCGGTGCAGTGAGATTGAGTCACAAATATGAAGTGGAGCTTCTGAATAACGGTGTTTTGAAGAACAGTCGGACGATGAAAACACCGCATCCGATTGCCCGGATACCATGGAACTCAGTTGCTGACAAGTAGAGAATCGACGTCAACCCCCGCTCAAAATTACCATCAGACGAATTTCAAGTCGACACCGTCCAAGGAAACGGGTAATAACACACGCTCGATATACCGGACAAAACACAATTGAAACTCACTACCGGTGTGGAGTCGTGCGAGACCTCTACAATATGGGAATTCTCTCGATCCAAACGCCGTTTCTGAAATTCATGCAAAAGGTCACCAGCACGGGAACCGAGTTCGTGCGATTCTGTGAAGATAGAAGGGATCAATAAAAAGCCAAAACTCCCTTGAGAGGTCGGACATATGTATCGATACGCACATCTGAAAGATTCGTTTTAATGACCTAGGTGGAGCAGCGGATCTCATTGCGTTAGGGTGGCCGATGGATAAGTTTCATCACAGAGCGACCAGACTGTGAATCCGGATGGTAGCGAAACTAGGGAATAGCAATTGAGTTTGTAATCATTGCAACCTACGAGACTCTCAACATTACAAAGAATACAGAGTTGGGAACGCAAGTAACTCAATGAGCCGCACATCGATCGGAATTTCGCACAAAATCGGAAACGATGACATGCAAAAGTAGATTCAATTGCATCAGATCACGAAGGATATGCAGATGCATTTTTTTCAATTCGGTTGGCACAAAGCCAATGGTAAAAAATGTGTTGTGCCACAATACACGTAAGAGCGACGGTTCACAGTGGACTGACAAGAAACAGTTCAGTCAAACTAGGCTGTAAACATACCGCTGCCAAACGATTGATTTTAGAGGAAATAACCTTGAAAGTTTGCAGCTGAAGAGCTCATATCTTCGTCCAGAGGAATCATGCCCCTTCGGTGTGCGGCGAAGGCAAAGTACATGTAGGAAATCTGGCTGTATGTACCAAAGTGACCAGAGATTTCCTGTCAACGTTTCGAAAAGATGTCGAAGAGCTTGAAACGTGAGACAGTCAATCACAGCCAGCAACAGGAAAGATGATAGGACATGACAGGCATTCGAAAACAACACATCCTTCATGCCAAATGTACTGTCCCAGGGATTTCCACTTGGATGGCGCGACCAGGACTGCAGGACGCACCGTTTAACCGTTACCTACGGGAACTAGGGTAACACGTAAGCCTTCGTCACGTGAGATGGTATGTCCTACATTTCGGTTCAGGCTCGCTTTTTCGGGATATCGCAAAATTCAACAGGAGATGATAGAAATGTGAGGGAGGAATTAGCGCCCAAAAGGAGACTAGTCGGACGAAAATACGCCGCGCGCTTTCTATTTGTGCTCAAAATAAGTGCGTTCCATGGGCCCTCAGTATTCAAACAACAATATTGAATTCTCGAAAGCTACGACGTGTTCCTGGTGGACTAAAACAAACAGGCGAGTTCAGAATACCAATCCAAACATTTGAGCCCCAACTAGGCGTACCGAGGTCCCAGTGATGCCAAGAAAGTATTCCACCAGGATTTTTCCGCCAGAGGTATGACTGCTTCAGTGGACAATGAAATTTGGTGAGCTGCGAAAATATGAACGTAGATTAAGGTGGTTTTTGGTGTGCGCACAAGCGCAACAACATTTTGGCGTATAAAAAGATGTGTTCCACTCGAAAAGGTTTTGTGGCTAAGAGCATTGTGCGACCAAGGAGCTCTCGTCCGAAGTGAGAGGAGACGAACCGTGTCCCTAGACCTGACCGTATGTTGATTGGTGGGTCGCTACCCTCAAGGTCATTCGTGAACGCATCTAACCCATGATAAAAATTACCTTTTAATCATCGGTCCATTGTTAGTGGGACGCATGGAATGATATTTTTCAGCAATTAGCAACAAAGTCGGAACTTACAGAAACATTCGCCGAAGAAACTGACGAAAAAACGGCAAAAGGCAAAAAATTATTTCATTTGGCCAATGGTTGTCGATCCTTCGTTCTACCCCATTCGAAGCAGATGCGAACTCAGTTTTGAGGTCATGGACCCATGCTAGTATGCCAAACAAAGTTCTCAGTAGGGTCAGTCAGGGCCATTTAGTCAGTTTGACAACCTAACACAACGGCACAGAGACCAGTTCTCGAGGCAACTCGAGGTAAGAGCTATCAAATTCTTCCATCTAACTGTAACTACAATAAATAACCCAATGTCTGGACGAAAGCGTAAGCACTGCATTACTTGGCTGCTGATTCTGCGGTTTGAAAAGGCTGAAAACTCAACTGATCACGCATGGGACTCGCGAAAGCATTGCTGGGAGCTAACAGGTGCCCTCAGTGCCTGTTATCAGTATGCCCTTTAACGAGGGTAAAGATAGATGGGGATTGTATCAACCACAACCGTATCAGCCTTGTCTCCCATTAATTGAAATAGGTACAGTAAGGTACCCACGGTTATTAGGAATGTACTTACAAAGTCATTTCAGAGCGCGGAATTCGATCAAGGATACTGAAGGAACGGATGTAAGCCTTAACCGTGACTCAGGCGAACATGTAGATAGAGAAAAACCTTCGTTTCTGAATTTAGGGATAGGTCTTGAGAAAACGGACCACTTTGAAGAATCAACTCTAAAACTAATCGGGGAAGCATTTGAGTTTCGTCGTGAGCGAGTAACCGAAAGTTCAATGTGATGAACTGTTCACAGTAGAGTGGCTGAACGAAAACAAGCGAGCTTTTGCAGTCACATCGACCTCAGTAGGAAGCAAAGCAATGGAGACCAGCAAAAGTTTAAATGAACCGTTTTCAACCAATGAGCACTGGTAGCAATTTGCTCGTATGTCAAGTAGATTGACACCTGTAGCTAGAGATAGAGCACACGGAATGCCACGCGAGAAATAATCGATTTTCCTGCTGAATGATGAGTGTTTACAGTCAACGGAGGGCCTGTTTCAGGAACACCTGTCCTCTGGTGTCGTGTGGATGTATTGATAAACATGTGGGTAATGAGACACTGTTAGAATGAAGTAAGAAGTGGGTGCGGTCACCAAATTTTGTGCGAGAATTCCTAACAGACAAGGCGGGTTCCACGTGAGCACAAGTGAAGTCTGCACAATAGAAATAAATCCTATTCAGTCGTGAAGTCGAGTAAGGGGAGACAATTTCTGTCAGTTCTGAACAAGGAGGGAAAATCTTTCAGTCTGACAGAGCTCAGGGGTAAAAGTGCGATTTTGGAGGTTGAAGTCCGAGCCCCGTCCTTTTGATGGCTTCTGCCTAGGCTCGGGTTCGGGTTGCACTGCAGTTATACATCAACAGTTTGTTGTTTAATATGATGCGAAAAACGTAACATACTTCAGAAATCTTCCAGTGAGTAGTATTTTAATACGGTATTCAGTTTTGCAATCGTCGCTTACTTGAAAACCGATATCAAAAACAAGCGGATCCAATTCAAAAGTCAACTAGTCACATTCCAACCGACAACCAAGATTTGGTATGTAAATTCCCCACCACCTTGCTTACCAAGTGTACGGAGGCCAGCCGTCCCTAATAACCGAACGTCACCTCATTTGGACGGATGTGTCGCGTGCAGGACACGGGCCAAACGAAGACGCCCTAATTGGTCAGAATGCCAGCCAATCCGAGTCAAGCACCTGTGACTCGACGCTTCTCGCCCCCTCACGGAGATTCTGGCATGATCTTGTAGAACACTCTGTGACTGCCCTATAAATACATATGTAATGATTCTCCGTTTGTCTCCATAAAGGCCTGTGTAGAGCTACCGTGCCTTTTGATATACACCATAGTGGGCGGAGCAGGAAGCCATGGGACCGATACATAGTTGCACTACCGTCCATCAAGACACAACACAAACATTCCCCACAAAATAACGTAACCACAAGGGTGCGAGGTGATAAACTTGTTTGACTGTATACTTGTAAGCACATCCATGCCCTATTAACTTTCTAAGTAATAAATTGCACACGCCTCAACCCGGGGAGATAACATATTCTTGGAGAGCTTACAAGAGACTTTCCCCTCAAACACTACACTGGTAGGTTGAAGACGGGGACAAGTGAAATGGAATTTTTGCCACATACCAATTTCCTGATCTATAATGATGGAACTTTGCATAGAATTTGACTGTTCTGACTGGTTGCCAGACACAACAGTGCTGCCCGAATTGGCCGTCCGCGATTGTAATGCTTTTGCTGCGGGCTCCAGAGCACCCTGTGAGGTTTCCGAGTGAGGTTCTTCGGCGATCGCCTGCATCTGACCAGTACCTGGACGTGATAACAGAGTAGAGGCGCGCAAACTGGAAGACATTGTAGTATCCGCTCCAACACTCGGATTCGGATTGAGGCCATATGAGCTTGAGGACATTTGACCATGAGCGGCAAACAGTCGTTCCACGGAGGCTTGCATGTTTGCTGAAACAGTGGAATCTTGTCTTACGTCATTACCAGAATGGACAGACTGTGCTACTCCCGAGTACGGCGCATTCGGGTTCGGTGGAAGGCGGAATCCGGACATAGAGTGAGTCATGAGACGAGGCTGCAGAAAGGACAGAATGGATAGTTGCACCCATACAGAGAAGTGCAGGAACTGACCAGCATTTAGGTGAGAGACAGCACATAAGTACAAGTAAATAAGCACGGGTCAGTTGTTATCGTGACAGTCTTACGCAATCAAACAAACTGTCGACGTTAAACCAAGGATTGCTACGCCGCAAGAACCAGAAAGGTTTGAAACAGTGATCACGACACCCCAGGAAATGCATGCTAACGTGCGTTCATTGTTAGTACAGGGAGGTCGAGAGGGTCATAAACAGAGTTAGACGTTTTCTCCGAACGTAAAATGCATTGACAATTCGAAGTGTCGAAGAGGGTGTCCTGGAACTCTATCCAAGAACAACTGAGATCAAATTTAATTCAAATCAAATGCCTTAGAGTTGAAAGAAGGCATTGCTATATTTACCAAAACCGTACAGAGAATGCTGAAATCCAAGAATATAAAGAATTACACTACACACCAAAGACGATCACAAGAGGGCCAAAAGCAGAGGTTACGCTCAACAGAGTGCCCCCCCCCCGTAGCCGCAACCGAGTGTGCTTAAACGCTCCCTTTCCATGTGGTGTTTTCCGAACGCATCATAGGACTTCAACCAGCCAGTAGCTTGGTAGAAATTTTCCTATAAGAATCAAGGATAATCTAGGAAACACCATAGAAATCAGAAACCCCCACCGAACGACACGAAGCTGTCACAACAAAACGAATAATGCCCCGTAGAAAGCCTAAGCGATTGAGTGGTTCCAACTGCATGTTGTCTTGTCATTATGAACTATCAGCAACGGTAATATTTTCGACAGCTCAAATCAACAGTTTCAGATCCGTCAAACCTGAAAGTCATGAGCGTATGAATAGAAACCATTGCGTGTAGAAGGGGCTTTCGAACAAAATTGATTGGGCAAAGCGCACTCAAAATCATACTGGTATACTCTCACTTGGAATGCTCGTCAATGTGCAAACCACGACGGCGACGGACATCCACAAGAGAGCCTAAGAATCCCTAGGCAACGACAATCCTTTGCACAACATACCACTGTAACGGCGGATACTACTGACGAGGCATTTGAGTAGCATGTGGGTTTCTCGTACCTCCGCCTCGCGTCTAGTGGAAGGTGGGGTTTATTACAGAACCTGTGGAACTACTTTGCAGCGTTCGTTCACAATTGCGTGATAGTCAATAAATATTCACGAAAGTTCAAGAAGGTGCGTGAAGATATTCAGTTTTTGAGAGATGTTTACTTTCCTGTCCAATAGTTTGTTGGTGTTCGTTAATAAACAACTCCGTGGCAAAGGGCTTTCCTCCTTACACTAGTGGGCTACGGTATCCTCGTCCAAAGACGTCCCATTCAGTGATTCGTCTCCCACAACGATCATGTGCCTGTGCACCGTGATAGGTCTTCTCGTAATGGTCTTCCCTCCACAATAGGATCGCTTTGATGACTGAAACAGCTGTGGAGTGCTTTCCGGCTTTTTTCCGCATAGACTGGATTCGGCTAACGTGCACAACCTCAGCTTAAGATTACCAAGGGTTCCACACTATCAGTAGTCTGTTGCCTGAAGACAGCAGCTCGTGTCATGTAGGGGAGTGTATGGACATCTCACGAATCTCCAGGGTGATTCGAGCGCGCGACCTCCCGGTTAATAGTCTGAACACTTAACCGTTCGGACACGAGAGGCTGATTGGCAGCATGATTAACGGGCACTAAGATAGGATACAGCACCACCGAACCTTCAATTACGGAGTCCAGATTACGTGATCCATATCGACTGGCTCATCGAGGGAGCTTCACTCGTGTGGGTTATTTTTCATTCTGAACCACCTACAGCCTGAGAAGTTATTTCCGATAAGGATGAAACAGGTGTACATCCCGCTTTTCAGCGTAGGCTGGCTTCATAACACAGAGCGAAATCTCAATTGAGAAGACCGAACTCGTCTGTTTTTTTTCAAAGCCTAAATGGGGATGAATAATGTGCTGTTCAAACAGAGAACCTACATACGGCCACTCTCAGGACTATACTTGACTAATGAGCCCCGGTTAAAGCGAAACAAGTCTGTGGGTTTTTTCCTCAACCTCGCCAAACCATTTACATTGCATTAGCTGAGCAGCTTCATGGGGAAATTCGGAGAAAACGGATGCATGAAATAGTATGAATGCACCAATCAGAAAACGAGGGGACTAGCAAACACCGGCTCGTGAGAGTATGTATGTTTGACTTTGCAGTGTAGGAAATTAAAACGCTAAGGGATCTGGAGCACTCAATCAATACTGGTATCGCGATAGCAAAGACAAGCGACTTACCACGCGTTTAGAATGACTAGATAGGCCAGCAGTACGTACAAACGAATAGATCCCACTGTCGTCGTCCGCAGCTCCATTCACCCCCGTCGTAGTTAGCCTACCACTGGCCGAACGGAGTAATCCACATGTTAGGCCCTCATAAGCTGGACACAAACTTTGAACAAGTTCACCACCTGGGCCTTGCAGACGTCCACGCAAGGCTGCCATTCGTGGTGACATACCAGACCGGTACATACTCGAGTTGATCAATCCAGAAGTAGCTGCTGGGACATGCGTGTAAGGAAATACCAGAGGTTTCACCGTGGGCTCGGCCAGAATGTGCTCAGGCCATAGAGTTGGTTCGAGTTTAGGGCGATTCATCGGGTGAACTTGAAGGTTCAATTCACAGGATTGAAAAGGTTGGGCAAAACTTGCTGGTCCCAAAGATTGAAGCCAGGAGTTCAGCGATAGGTCAGGAGGTACGGGCTGACGAACACGTCCGGAAGGCGTGGAACATGCGTCCCCACTCGCTCCCGCTGTGGTGCTGGGTAGAGAAGAATATCGCCGTTCCGTTTCTTCCTCCTCCTCAATGTCACCTTTGTGAGGTCATGGGAAGTAGCAAATGTGCAAAAGTCAAGAGCACGGTGGGGATAGAAAACCCCAAACATCATTATCAAAATAAGTGGAGTAGTAAGATTCAAGCCTGTAAATCGCGATACATACATTTATCGAGAGATAGCCTTACCTCCAAGCAAAGTGGTAACTTGCATTTCCGCTTTTCGCTCGGTAGCCATAAGAGCACAGTAATCCACGCATGCTTCGTACAGTAGACCTTTCACAAGTAACCGGACTAGACGATCGCCGCGTGCAACTTCCTCCGCAGCCGCTTCGGGTTTGCTCAGACGCACAAACGGTTCAAGCAGCGGGTAGATCTTGAAAAGGAGTAACACGGGCAACAGGTGACCAACTTTGACAAGAGGGAATAGCTGAATCATAACTGGACAAAACAGGAAAAACCTATATGACTGCATGCCGGGTAGACCTTAGCATAATGCTACTCAAGCGTATGAAGCTCTTGACATTCGTTTAAAAAGTAAACATTTGAATATCGCCATCAATGAGACAGGAGAACCCTTCACCAAAAGGGATGGACTTCAACGGGACTGGCAACTTCACCGGGGACGTATTTCTATTTCAGGGGACGGCAGCGCTGCTGTTTGCGATGGGAGAACGCTAGCCCTCAGGCAAAGGCGCGACCGAAAGTTCATCCCAAAGGTTGAAACTACTGTCTTGTCAACTAAACACACAGAACAAAAGCAGAAAATGGGCAGCGGGTCAGCTAGTGTAGATTAATTGGTCCGTCCAGACGGAAGGCATGTTCACGAGTGGGCGGCTAATATAGTTTTTCGGACAGCCAGATAACTGTCCGAGTTGTTCCGGTCGGCGACTCGTCCGTCAGAAGCTCCGGCAGTGAACGAGGACTGTTCAAGCGAGGGCTTCGTAATTATCAATCGGGATCCAGCATCATTTGGGGGAATTGAACTTTTTCATTAGTACGGAATTAGAACCAGTTATTCTGGCGAAATTCCGTGTTTCTAAAGAACCTTTTCGTCACATAACTTTGGAACTGGAGAGAGGAAACTGCCGGATTATGTATACTTGTGGTAACGATCTGCGTGCATTTCTCCAAAGGTTGTTCACAGTGTAGAAATAAAGTACATACAAAAAATTGGGCGATGGTCACGAGAAACTGCAGAAACGCAGATTTCTAAGTACCTCCAACAAGCTGGCTACCCACAACCAGTCAACAGAACTTCTGTATCCAAATCCCCACGGTCCCTTTTCACTGTTGGAAGTCTACCCTGTCCCCTAACGCCAAGAAACAGGTGGCCGAATTGTCGATAATCTAAGCAAATAACTTTCACTTGAATGTTTACACAACCGAAAGCCTTGTGTGCAAGTCGTGCCCGTTGTTGGCTGCAGCACCTATGGAATGTCATACAAAGTGCAAAACGCCAAAGAAATTATCGTTTTAGTTGAATGGTTCAGTTGCCATTCAACCTGGGATATTTCGATTTCAATTAGGTCTCGTCGATCGCAGTTTGTCACTGAAGCGATTGTGCATTCCGATTGCCTATAAAAAAAACACTTGGAGCACCACAGTCCGAAACGCTGCTGAGGTCAATCTAAACGAAGTGCAAAAAATGGTAAATCCCAGTGTGTATTACCACTATTCAGCGTTTTTTAAATTCTGCAGGAGTTGTGTGACCAAATACCCCTCCAATTCTGAACATCCACAATTTCTATCTTTATCCAACCCATAATATTTAAAAGGCTGTTCGTTATCGGTATTGCACAAGTTTATGGGTTGGTGTTTGCTCATATTGGTAAGTTGGCTTTGTAAACAGCTGAGGTGGCACCATCATCACGTAGCAGATTAGCGTTCCGCCACTGTTTAGAAGAGTGTACAAGAGTCCCTCGAGAATGATTATGGTAGTCTAGTACCAGGTGCCTCTCCTATTGTACTCTTCTCTTTAAAGATAGTTTGGACTAAATCTGTAGTTGTACGGTAGTGAAGCATTAGTGCCAACGCTGACGTTTCTACTGCTGTTACTGATGACGATGCTCTTTTGGCGGCAAATTCGATTGAAGACTGTCATAAACGAGAGATTCGGGTGCAATTCATCTGGGTCCCCCGTCAACATCAAGTTAAGTTGCGAACGCGCGTTCATCACCATATATGTTCAAGTTGGTGTTCAGGTAGGAAACCAAACTGATGGAGATCCAGCTTACCTGCTGAGTCCCAAAAAGGGCGGAAACGGTAGTGGCTTTCCAGATTTTTCATCGACCTTATGAGCACTATTGAGACGACATTTTTCTATTCAAGCATCGAGATAGTTCAGTAGTCATGGCGCGAACATAACGTCGTTCGAACCCAGTCTGCTTCTTGACTGGGGAACCTGGCCCTATCTCAGCTCTCGTGCTTCGTTCGGCTGGCATTGCAGCTAGGCGTCGAAAAGGTGCTACAGCTGAACGATTATTTCACTATCGTTCATGCCTTTACAAGATCTTTTGTCCACTTGTGCTACATGTCCATTCTAATCGAAGGAGGGCCATCCACATCTTCTCGAATTGCCAACTTGGGGGAATTCAGAGCACTTGCTTGATACGTCCAAACGCAAATTCGAATTGAAGAACCTGCGAGACACCCATCACTTGGATGTATGTGGTCCCCGGTTCGCTTTACCGTACATGTTTCGGGGTGATTCGTGGATATCGTGGAACTCTGCCTAGAGAGGCTGGTCAGGAAGTTGTTCACAATCATTTCCGAACAAGAAATTTTTCTCATAATGCCACTATCGTCTATTTAGGTGTTTATGTAAGCGCAACCGATCCATTCATCCGTCGCTGACAACAATTGTCATACACTTTTCTTTAGTTAACCCAACTAAACTGTTTAACCACTTGCAGCACGCGTCACACTCTTAATCACGAGTGAGCACGCTGCACCGATGAACCTGGTGCATAACCAGCTGATTTTGTGGACATCCAACATGCCAAATACAACCAAAGGACAGTTAATGACCCTGTCAGCATAATACTCCAGTAGTGTGTTCCTCACCTCTCTGCAAGCACCATGAAATGGCCATAAATTTCATAAACAACTGGCTTGAGTAATAGGTGCTGGAAATGTGAGTTTTGAGTCTGCAGGAGAGCGAAAACAAAATCAGGACACTATATTTCCAGCAATGATCTCCATATACATATCACCAGAAACTGTCCCCGGAAGGGGAGATGCCCCACAGGTGGAACTCGAAAAAGCAACGCTGACTGCACAATATCCAAAATTTATATGTGAGACTGAAGCTAAGCGACAAACTCTCAAGTTCGTTCATAAATCCGGTGAAAAAAATTAGGTTCTACGCAACAAGGAAAAATGGAAAAGTCGGGAAGGAGCTAATAAAAAACGAAACGAGACTCACTTTGGTAAAACAGTGAAGGCGACCCAGACTTGGATTCCAATCCCGATAGGCTGGATGCTGATCCAACCGAGGCAAGGTGAGAAGCAGAGCTAAATCACGATACTCTGCTTGACTGGAACATTCCGGTTCCAGCTGTTTCAGACAGTCCACAACCTGGGGACAGAGAGCAAAAGGACCAGGGCTAGGCCAATCGATTGAGTGAGCACTTACCAGAAACGATGCAAATTGGTGCAACTGCATCAGAACGAAATACAAATCGAAAAATTGTCGTTAAACAAGATTTCCGGTTTTAGTAGCTGGGATTGGAGCGACCCAATAGCACTGACTGGAGAAAAGAAGTTCATACGATCTACCCCATGCAGTTTACTGACTGTCCCAGATTTGTTTGGACCAGATACAATTCAGCTGGTGGAGCTGGTTAGAAATAGCACCCAAGGAGTGAAGTAGGAAAGCTACGGTCGACAAGGCGTGCTGAATGCGGAAGCCAGAAAGGAGATAAAAGGCTCAGATATAGTATCATGCATCCGAACTAGCGTTCCCAATCCCCGGTCACTCCTCCTGAGTCACCGTAATGAAAGAAACAATGTCTATAATAAAAGTACCGTTAGCAGCGGTGTCTACACTAAGTAACGACACCAGACATCTCTTTTGTTGTGTTCCCGGAAGTCGATCAGCAAGAACACACTTCACTCCAGGGAAATGTGGGTTTACTGATGAGAAAACATGGGTTTTCACGTGCTTCATTAGATGTTCAGATATGTTTGTCCACTAGCTGAGTGGGTGGTCGATCTTTGTTGACAGTAATAACCAAATGCATAGTGGAAACCCAAGTTCACCTTCGGCAACTGGCTGGAGAACTGCTCCCCAAATCCGTACCACTATTGACCCACAATGTTGTCAGCTTGCGAAGCGCGGGTCTCACCTTGGGTTCTATGTAACCTGGAAATCCCGCACTTGCTATCACAAACTACTGGAGCCAGAGTGTCCGTTAAGCTCCTTTGGAGACAGGGATCATTCACTGGGAAGTTGCTGAATGGGAGTGCATTATGGACCATCCAAGAGAGTGACCTCTTTTGGCAATGTTATAACTTGAGGGAGACAACTTTTGTTAGACATCCGACCCCTCCACCGTCTTCTGTCGTCGATGACCGGTAGCAGCTAGCACAAGGTTTGTTGTGGATTATGCTAAGAACGACGGTTATACATGTGGCAAGCTGGGACGTCAGGACATATAGTTCAGCGTTCTCTTCGAAATTATGTGAATATACGGTTCTTTAATACTGTTGGTGCAAGAACTAACAAAGAAGTCGGGACAGACAATGCTCAGTCATGCGCTTATGTTCTTGATTGCGACAATGACGGTGATGATGACGATAATAACAAAGGTTCTGAGGTACACAGATTGGACCTCACCCCTAAGTACATGCTACACTGATTCCGAGGAAGTGATTCAACCCGACCAGTGAGCACGTTATAAAAAATAATTACATTCTATTGTACGCCTACCTTGTCCTTTCACGGAGCTGCGCATCAGTAGGCCTGGGATGGGTAGCTACTTGACCTTGATGATGGTGCAACAATCTTGCAAGTCGGAAGTGTAGCTTTTCAATTCGTTGTTGTGCACCCGCAAAAAAAGTCCTTCTCAGAAAACGAATCCTGTAAACCATCTGCTGCAGCGAAAAGCCGTGTTCACTTCGCATGTGAATCGTATGCAATTGTAGTGATTTACACAGCGCCATCAACTGGCTAGAACCCAGCATGCTTCACAAGTGACTTATTTCAGACCAACACGATGCCTCCTACTACGGAGACAAAATCGCGAAACTACGTTCACTACTAGTCGAAATGGAACCCCTTCCATGACACTCCAAAATAGTAGGAATTTTTGTTTTTGAAACTGTACGTATTATCATCTGATATCCCACTCATTTATGTAGACAAAATAAGCCACACCACACCGAACAGAATCACCATGAAACACCTTGGTGGAATCACAAAAGCACAAAAAGGGAAGTTAACATAGAGTAGCACGGAGAACCAGTATAAAGCTGCACTTGGTCGTTGTCCCGACTCTGATTAAGACCGACAGCAAACTAACAAACTGGAATGAGGCCGAGCCGTATAAAGCTCGTGCTCTTGTTTCGTAAAAGAAGCTAGTGGATAACTAAGAGTCGCTAAGCTGCTGCAAGTTTTCATTTGCGTAGCCTTTGTGTAGTGATTTGATGCTAATACGGAAAGAATACACCGTAAAGAGTCACACAGCGCTCTACAGCCATAAACTCCTAAAATGGCCACTCACGAAGACCCACTTCTCGTCAGTCAAGAAGAGAATCGATGTACATGAACACTGAAAAGTCAATACGATGCTGGAGCTCAGTGGCTGTGTAAACACTGTGACTAAGCAACAAGCAGGCTCACATTCTCAACAGCGTAGTCCGATGAATCACCAGCTTCTGCTGCCGGTGTCCCGCCATTGACAGCGGTGGAAGTGCTGATAGTACCACATCGAAGGCACAACAATTCCAAATATTTGTGCTTCAGTAGTAGGAACCTCGGCTCCCGCAAATCCATCTCAACGGGGGGTCCACGTAAGGGTTCCAAGTAATCCAACGCATCGTCCCACTGAAACGATAAACACTTTAGCTTAGGATAATGTAGAAATAGACGAATTGGTGGGCTTATTGTATTCTGTTGCACTCTACCGACTCAAGAACTCTTAGCAAAATCGAGAGTGGGGCCTGACAATGTAAATACTGCACACATGAGAGGGAGAGGGTACAACCATTACGTACACTATCAGGCGGAAATGCACATAGACCAGTCACCCTCGGCACACCCATTTAAACGGGTTGCAATTCTACCCGGAGATATGAAAACACATTCGGTCGGTCAACCGAAATTAATGCATTGTACGGACATAATGAAGTATGCCCATCATATGATTCGATCGACCGTTCCAATCCAGATTTACGTGTGACGTCGCAACTTGTCACACAACTGAACTTCTCCATTTGAGGTCATTCCGCAGGTAGACACCTAACAAAGGTGGCTTAGAGAAGAATATTCCCATTTGCGTCACCGAGCATGGAAACGGTATTACCTGATCTATTGAGTAGCTGTGCTAACTAAGCTCAAGTGCCCACATATCTAGACAAGCTCTGTTGCTGAATTGAGTTTGTCGTAATCAAACACATTGCACTTTGAACGCCGTCTCTTCGAAATTCCATGCTGCAATATTGCCTGTTGCGAGCGACGGTGTGTGGGTGGAAAGTGCACCATTTTATCATTACAATCATTGCCAAAAACATTCGCCCCACTATGTACTACATGGGGAGGAACAAATCTAGCCACGCTCTTTCACGGAGACACCGTCGTTTGATCATTGGTCTGGTTGCGGAGCTGGACCATTTGATTGCAAACATTCCATCACCAGTCGAGCTGACATCATCAGTGCGAGATTGAGTGGGTCATCTAATCCTGGGCCGCTCAATCATGCACTGATGACGTCACCACGATTGGTGATGAAACGTTCGCAATCCAACTGCCAAGCTCGGCGAACAGACCAACAACAAAGCGGCGCAACCGAGCTGTCGAGCTGACATCATCAGTGTGTTTTCAGGGAGCGCACTGGATGGTAGCGATGGGTTGGTGGTTGTGCTCTCAATAGTGCTGCATGTGTGTTAATATACTTGCTGTTAGCCGGGACCGACCTTCGATCACGATTAGTTGTTCGGTCAGACGTTTCAATTGTTTGCTCTGTTATCCTGTGCCTTGATTGACCGATGACCGAGTGACCTTCGAGCTTGGCCTCCCCTGTTCTCGTACTCTGGTTGGTGCTGGACTGACCTTTATCACTGACCCCTCTGGGTTCTGGCCTGAGACCTTTGTTGGTAACAGTCCAAGAATTTCCTTGCCTCTTGGTTTGTGAATCCGATATTTGGCTCTCTCTGAGTATTTCGGTTGAGATGTTGGTCCTTTGCACATAGTGGTACGTAAATTGGATCCAGTTCGTTGCATTGGTTGATCTTCTTGGACTCGTATCAACAAACGCCACAAGCCAGAACCCAGAGGGGTCAATGATAAAGGTCACTCCAGCACAAACCAGAGTACGAGAGTAGGAGAGGCCAAGGTCGAGGGTCACCAATCAATCAGGACACAGGACAACAGAGCAAACAATTGAACCACCTGGCTGAATAATTAATCGTGATCGAAGGTAAGCCCCGGCTAACAGCAAGTACGTTAACACACACGCAGCTCTATTGAGAGCACAACCACCAACCCATCGCTACGCTCCAGTAAGCTCCCTAAAAACCCACTGATGATGTCATCTCGACTAGTGGTGGAATGTTTGGAAACAGATTGCCCAGCTCGGCAACCAGACCAACGACCATTTATGCTATCTGAGCTACCAACATTCTCCCCTATAGCAACACTGTCGTTTGGTTCTTTCAAAAGCCGTTAGCAAGAATTCGAAAATGCCAGTGTCGCCAGATCCCTTCCTCCATCGCGTGAATACTCAACCGAGGCATCCTTCGGTTAAATTACTGTCCACAGCCCATTTGTTACATGAAGACTGGACTACAGGCCGGTCATGTGGGAACAACCAAGTGAGATGTCAAGCATGTACTGAAACCACACTGCTATTTGGAGTGATGGTCGCCCGCCCACCTCCACAGACTCTCGTTCAGGCGTCGCTTCACAACTGTAAACGGAAATTCCATGCGCGCGTTGACAAGAGCATAAGATGGCTCCTGAAACAACAAAGGCGGGGAGCTTAACTACTCACCTAGCTGCCTCGTTATAACACAGCACGTCCACTCAGGCAGAATTGCCAGAAAAAGCAGTTGATGGGTCTGCGACGAAGATCAGCCGGACAAAAAGTTCACAAGCGAAAGCGAAAGAAAATCACTCCGTCGCTCATCTTTTAATACTCATTCAATCAGTGCTTTGTCTGCCCGTAAAAATGAAGATAAACTTGTCGCAATTAAGCTACGCTGTCAAAGTTGATTTGTATGTAACATTTCTAGCAACTGAAGGAATGAATGAGGACAACACCACATGTTACTCGCCAAGAACGGAAATTTAAACATGTCAGCACTGAGGATCCTCTTCGTTTAACACCACATACTACTGAGTGCCTATGGAGACAAACAAAAAACACGAAAACAAGCAGCCTAGACCTGACACTGTGCAAAATCCAACATAGTAAAAACTCACATGGCCTTCCAAAATCAACTGTCTAAAAAATAAAATGTCTTCGTTGAAGGGACCATTGACTTGACCTGTTTCACGTTCCAGGGACAGCATTGAGATGGCCAACTCGCGTTTCTCCAAAAATTCCAAAATCAGTTTGACGATATCTGCTTCGAAAAGGTCCAGTTGGACCGATTCCCGTAGAGTGGCGGACATACTCTAATTCGTGTCAAAGCTGCAAAGTACGGGATGACAATGATCTGATTAAAAGGCGCCGTGGGAGTATCCGGTGTTTCATGCATGTTCGCTTGAAAACAAGTCCAACGTTTTGTGGACTGGGTCTTCCTTAAGTGAAAGCGGATTACAAGAGAAGGGAAGGTCCATATTAGGCTAGAGAATATGATACGAGTATTTGAATGTCACGGGTTGCGGTGTTCAACACTCAAAGACAAGTGCCGATATATGCGCAGATCAAAGTAGAATTCGGTGGAGAAGTACCGCCCAGCTCTTGCCAGAAGTTAAACGAACAGCCAGACTCAACTTCCTAGTCAGCATGGAAATTCATGGGAAAAGTCATCAGAACTGCTGGACATAGTGGATCTTATTCATGGAAGCCGTCGCAGCTGCCTTCAATAAATTACTCGGCCATTTGTATCTGGTCTGGCCTGCTAATCAAAGGAATCATTCTGGATGAAGCCGCCGCAACGAGCGAGTAGCTCTTTGAAACTACAAGTGTGTCGTTACAAGTGGTCACAAGCTTCCGTGCTGCCTCATGGGACACGGCGAGGAGCCAGGTGGAGCCTCCCACTATAATTCTGTCACCCGTTCTCAAATTGTACAGTTGTTCCAGCTACAAGGGTCCGTACGCAGGAAGCCAACGGTTATTTAGCAGGATCGACAGACGGTACAACTGAGATAAGTTCAATGGTGCGGGTACTCTGATGCACATAGCATTGTCGTCTTATGAGCTGGACGACTAAGATACTTTGGTAATAGAGCCTCCATCGAGCAGTCCTCTCTACGGACTTCAGTAGTAAAAGCATGCTCGTAAGTTTGTGGATCACCCTATTCTAAACTTGAGAACGGTTCCTGGATCCGAGTATCAGTCTGCTTTGAATTAATTGGTCCTACGGAAGCATAAGCGGTACCACAACTGTGCGTGATGGAATCTTCAAGACAATAGCCCACAGAAGTCCATCCAGACCAGAACTTTCTAGGGTCCAGGGCTATTAAAACATTGAACACGTTCTTCCCCTTGCACTGATAAGCGTTCTACGTTTCTTGATTCGCGTTCAGGACGTTCAGGAGGATGTGTAAATCAGAAGTGCGTTTCCAGAAGACAGTGAAGTAAGCCAGCACAACTTCGTATTTTTAAAACTATGAACAATGTATACGAACGTAGTGGGAATCGCCATTGCCATCCAATATTGCCGTCAGGGCCAGTTTCTAAGATATCTCAAGTATCGACTATCCAAGACGACCATCGGTAACAAGATTCTCGGAAATGTCGCTCCAATGTTGCTTTCCGTGGCGAACGAGCGAACGGCTTGCAAACCCACACATTCAACACCGGACGTAAGAGTCGATACAGTTCATTTTTTCAATTCAATCTATCGGCTATAAAGAGTGTACCACAGACACATTGGTTCCAGTTGCTACAGCTTTGATCACCGGAAAGTGGGAGATGGGACATACAACCAAGCCTAGAATGCTTGTTAGTTCGGGAACTGGGTAGCCCCGCACTGAAGACGATAGCTCTGATGCAAGCAGGCCACTGACTGTGCGACTGCAGCACTTCTGTTAGTGCCGTTAACCATTGGTGAGTTGAGTCCCGAGGTCCCCATCTATGGAGGCGGCAGTTGTCCAACTGACAGAGCTTACTAGTTAGTGTTCTCACATATCGTTGCCAGGTCATACAGTATCTCTCGGTCGCTTCCACTCAGCAGAGGGCTGTGCGAAAAAAAGCTCCACGAGGTGGACGGTCTTCTGCCATGCAGAATACATGCCCAACCAGCGCAACCTATGAAGCGTGAATGATTCATCTACCGCGGGAGAGTTCCTTCTTCAGAAGGCCATCTGGCGTACCTCAGACCTCACCAATGTTTCGGAGACATCGAGAGTCAAACAGTGGTATCGTTCGCATGTCCTACGTACGTAGACGCAACGTTATTGATCCATAGAACAGGATGAATCGCACCGCCGCAGTGTAAACTCAACCCCTGACGGAAAAACTGATGTCACGTCGGCGCCATAGGTGTCGAAGGTTAGCAAAAGCCTCCCTGGCCTTCACGCTCAGCTGTAACACCCTTCCGGTGCCTAACTGCCATGCTATACGAAGGAGGCACGAGGGCTGGAATACTGCCAGGTTGCCCAATTCTAGGCAGGGGACAATTCTAGGCAGGGGAAGTCGATATGTAGAGTATGGGTTTGAACCACGGACCTTCCAGTCAGTAAATCTGCGCTCTAACCACTTGAGCCATCCTGTCCCCTGGTCTTCACGAATAATATCGTCTCCAGCTACTCCATTATTCAAATAAATTTATCTACCACGTCTATTGGCTCATCTGAAAGTATGAGGTTTAGGCTTAATCTCGTCCAATCTTGTCACAGCGCTTTAAACCTTGCAGGTGTGAAGCGCATGTCAAGCCATGCGACAGAGTTATGTAAGTTAGATAAAATGGCTTGCATTTTTTTAGCATCTTAACAAATGAGAGTAATATCTCCTAAATACTCAATGTCTGTGAAAGAACATCCCGGGAGCATTTCGACTCCTAGATTTCAGAGCGCATCAAGCAGCGCATCAATAACAAGCTTGAAGAGAAAAGGCGAGAGAGGACAGCTTTGTCTTACATCACTGGATGTGGCGAAGTCAGGAAAAAGCTTCTCGTACACTCGTACGCGCCCACAGGAGTTTGCATACAGAGATCTCATAAGGGATATAAATATGGAGGGGACTCATATGATCGACAGACACCGCCAAAACTTGAGAATCGATAGAGCAAAAGCTGCTTTTAGATCAAGAAGAGCAACCAACGAGGGATGTTTGAAGGAGTGGCGCTGTTTAAGAACTTGCCCCAAGACGAAAATATGGTCGATGAACCCTCGGCCAAGGTGAAACCCAGCTTGATTCTCACGAATCTGTCTCTCCCGACAATCGATCATCTGCACAAAGAAATGTGAGAGAGCATCTTAGATGCGACGGACACTAGACTAATGCCACCATGGTTTCCGCATGACGTTCTTGTGCCCTTTTTGAAAACTGGGATGACGATCAAGGGGCTCCACGCGACTGGTTTTCTGATTTCGATCCAAATCTTCTGGAGTATATTCATTAGGAATTCACTACCTTCTTTGAAGAGTGCGAGGTACAGAAAATCCAGACCAGGTGCCTTATCGCTCTTCGTTTACTGGCCTTCCCCCACATAGTCCATTCGTATCAATCTTGACACGGTTATCGAAGAAAGGCTGTTCTGGTTATATCGTTGTGTTGTCAACGGAAGTAACCAAATAATCGGAGCCGATGTTATTTGAATAGCAACTCAGGCCAAGTGATGCCCGAGCAACAACAGCAGACCTCTTCATTCGAACTACCGTCTTCAAGCACTGACGTCCCTTTAAGTACCAAAAGTTATAAAGCTTTGTCCAAAATGCGCACCGAAAAGGCTCCGTAATAAGGTAAGAAATACTCTTTACTTATTTATTATTTTTAAGGGGTCCAAAGATTGGTTTTCAGATTCATAATTTCTCTGCGTCACTTCCGAATTGGAGGTCAACATATGCTGGTGTGTAAGGTTGGTGAGGTGTTGGAAACACTGGGTCCATGAAGAACGTATCTGGCCAGTATGGAGAATTTTTTCGGATGCAATGCCAGAGTAGACTAAGCATTTAACTGTTTTCCGAAGACTCACAGGATACGAAATAGCTTTGTAGCTTTCATTCTGGTCCCCAGTAGCAATTTCAAGTGTTCCGCGAGACGTGGTTGCCAGGCTTTGGAGCGTGCAACAATTTGGTGCGTTCGACAACCTCACCTTAACCGAGTTTGACTAATACGCGGCACTATGAGATCCAGTCCTCCTGACGCGTATAGATAGGGGGACTATCGCAGATAGCAACGGCTACGCGCGCCCACTGTGCATTGATGTCGTGGAGCACAGGAAAACTCGGGCTTTTCACAGAGGGTGTCAGACTGAGACTGAAGCTTATCCGAGCGCCCGAGAAGAATGGTAACATACATCACTGCACGACACGTGTAATGGCATTTTGATGAAGGGTTTTCAGTCCTTCTCGTATGACAGTGTGATACGATTCTATTTTATTGCCTGCTTCTGTTCTCCTGGAAGAACTGTTGGGCCATCCGGATCGTGAAAGGTTGTAATCATCCTGGTGAACGCTATGTAATGTATCTAGATTTGATGAAGTCGTTGTCAAGCGATTACGGTCGATGAGTCTAACGAACCTGCTTCACGGACCCTATGGTGGCTAGGGAAGTATTGGCTAGAGAGCGGATTACGTTGACCTAATATTCAAACTGCGTTAGGTGCTAGAAAGAGGCCATATGCACTAGATACTCATAATTTTATTAGTTCCGGATTTCCAAGGCCTATTTGACGCAGTTCCGTTTAAACGGACTGTTCTCCGTAATACGCTTGCTCAGAAAGGAATATCCCGGAAGTTCGTGAATATTATATACGAAGAGATGGAAGTAACGCCAAAGGGTATTCAGAATCTCGGTGTTAGTGCAGTTTCTGATGAAACCTTGTTGGTCTGGAATATAGAGACATCGTTTTCATCTTTGAAAAGGCGCAAATATTTTCGGATGAACTGAAAAATTTGCACCTAAAAGCGTAGGATAAGGAGCCTTGACAAGCAGCCACTGAATACCATTTGAAATCCATGAAGCACTTGAATTTTGGGAGCGTCTTACGCATCTCGGAAGTCGCAGAGGTTTCGACTGTAGTGTGACAGATGACACCAGCTCACTATCACAAAAGCCTCAAGTCTCCTTTACTAAGTTGAGAAACTTAACGCAGCAAATCACAGAATCTTGAAGAACGTGTGTATAGGGACCTTCTGGTCAGTGAACTCGCGACCTAACTACTTGGTCCTTCTCGCCCCATCCATGTCATCATCGACAGCATGACATCAGTGTTCAAGCATGAGTTTATTTGTGTATGTGCAGTTCATGGTTGTACGTGGGCTGAGATACTGCCAAAGCGCCCACACCTAGACCGAAGG